CTGTCTCTTTGTTGGTCTTACATTGATATCGTCCGAATCTGAAAAATTATCACCTTCTCAATCACTAGAGTAGATATCGCTTGGACAGTCAGATAAATCAGCGGGAAAATTCATGGCGATAAAATGCACGAAGCAAGTAACGCAAGTGAAAAATTTCAAGTCAACTCGAACTCGCTGGAGTACAACGTCTTTCCACAAACTGAAGACTTTCGCAATTTATCCGGTCAATAATGTGTTTAACAAACGGAAAATAGAGGAAAGAGAAACATTGCACCACGCTGATCTTTCGATACTTTTTTTTTTTTTTTACAAAATCCTCGCCCTTAGCGTTTAATGTTCACGTTCTTAGACAGAAAGACTAGACTATCACTGGCTTGCGCGCGCGTGTGTGTGTGCGCACTGAATTTCCAAAATTACCCCGTAAAAATGGAATCCACCATGCAAATGAGCTCTGCATTACGAGCTCGACGATGAAACATTTTTCCGAGAGCGCGTTCAAAGGGGAGTTTCGAAACTTCGTTTGCTCGCTGGCTATAAAGAGTTTAGAATGGGCGGTATTAAACAAAATGCTGACGCGTCGAGAAAGTGACGTACTCTCTCTCTCTCTGCTGGAGGCAGAACCTTCGAGGATGAGGGAGAGCCAGGTGTGGGTTTATGCAAGACAAGCATTTCGCTGCATAATTTCAGTCTTAAAGTGCACTTTATTAAAATAACAACCATAGAACAAAGTTGGACGATTCGAGATAGGATCGACACGAGAGTGTCACACGTTTATTACAAAAACACACGTTCGTGCTTGGTGCTTCTCGAAGACAAGAGGCACAAAAGATAGGTGTAACAATTTATATTAGCCATCTCTCTTAAAAATCTAATTTCCCAGGTTATTGAGTATCACATTTATCGAACATGTAGCGTACGTACTACTCTTTGGCACGAAGAAGGATCTCTCCCTTGCGAGAATATTCGAAAATGCACACAATGCAAACTCGTCAAAATCGGCGTGCTTCGAACAATCTCGACGCAGACAGCTCGAACTTTGTGTTCAATTCTATATTCAATTGTTGCTCCATGCTGAATGCGAACACATTCTCCTTATCCTTAGCGTGGATCGCTACGGCACGCTTGAACTTGCCGGTTTGCTTCTGCCGTTTAATTTTGCCCGTCGCCGCTGCCGTCTTTTTCTCCTTCGTCTTTTCCGCTAAATTTGCTCCATTACGATCGATATTAGCACTCTGTTGCTGCAAAGGAGCCTGAAACTCGCTGGACCTGAACCGGTGCAAAATAAGCTTCTTCGTCGGCAACTCGAGCGAAAGCGAGGAAACTTTCGTCCGAACTCGTTCGTTCGCCGTAGCATTGTTCGCCGACATCGTCTTTTCGATGTTTTGCCCCGACGAGATCGCGATCTTTACAGTTTGCTTGTTGTCCCGGCTGCTCGGCTTCTCGCTCGCTTTGGCCAGTAGCTTCGGCAAGGAGGACAACTGCTCGCCGAGTGGACGATCGGTGAGGAAAGTTATCAGAGGTATGTCCTCTATGTCGAACTCGCTGCAATTCACCGAGTACTTCAAGCTTACTTCCGCCTTCACCTGATCCTTCACGCGAAATCTCCTCGATCTTGATCGCACGTTGTACGAGTGGTTGACGCTCTGTCGATCGTTCCGATCGTTGATCATCGGCACCACGTCGTTGATGATTTTGTACTTGGTTCTCGAGATGATCGCGTGAGACCTGGTCGCCGGATGGGATCGCTCGCAGTGAACGTAATAGTCACCTTTCGTGAAAAAGCTCTCACCTGTGGCACAGCAAGAGACGAAACCATTTCCTTTCAAATAAATCTAATTTACTTTATCAAATCCTCACTTAGTCTTAACCCTTTCGCTACGAACGGTGACTATAGTCACCCAACGATTGATGCTCGTTATGTACGATCGTTTCCATACGAAATTACATTATATTTTCTAATTGTATTATGTGATAGTTTTTTCACCTCTTCCTTCCTACGGCCGATATTGCAGATCTTCCGCAAGTGCACACTTTCGGCCCGTAGCGAAAGGGTTAATCTTAATAATTTACCAATTGCACTAGCAAATCGAGACAGGTTATAAACCTTCTTCTTCTCTTTACAATTATTAGATTAGATTAGATATTTACATGTCAGAGGCGGAGATAGCTCAGACTCTTAATCTGAGGCTCTATGATTCGAACTCCTATTCGGGCGGGTAAAAAGAAAGATATTGTCCTTTAGGACAACAGCACGAGGAGAGCTCTGTGTCTATAAAAAGGTCCCAGAGCTCTGCCAACGTGCGGAGGACGGCCATCGTGGAGGTTTTAGTCGGTAAAAATCCGATCTTCCCTTAAAAGATTTAGGTGTCTTATCGAAGATTTCCTCCACGTGAAAAAAAAAAAAAA